CTGCGTGCGCAATGACAAGTCAGGCTGCGTGCAGACCTCGGAGGAGGAGTGCTCAGTGAGTGCCATGGCCCTTTCCTGCCAGCCCTGCAGGCTCAGGGCCACTTCTGCTGATGCCTCTTTCTCTGGGCTTCATGGTGACACCTCTCCTCTCTCCTGCAGTCCACGCTGGCTGTGTGGGTGAAGTGGCCCCATCACCCCAGCACTCCGATGCTGGCAGGAAACAAGAGGCAGTTCGGCTCTGTTTGTCATCAGGACCCCAGGTAGGTCCTGCCTGGCCCAGCTGCCATCGTTGGAGAGATGCTGGAGAGTCAGTCCCAGGCCAGTGGATTGCTGGATGAGGCAGCAGCTGCTCTGGAGGGCTGTGGGGCAGTGATGTCCCTACACTGCAGGGGAGGCTGATGCAGGGTGTGATCATATTTCTGCTCGCCCCTGGTCTCTGTTGTGGGCTGCTCACCTGAACAGTGGCCTGTTGTGAGCTGTGGGTGCCTTCCTCAACCTTCTCCTCCTCCTCACCTGCTCCCTGCTCCCTGTGGGGTGCAGCAGTCAGGAGCCTAGCACACCTCTGTCCAGGAGCCCAGCCAGCTGCTGGGTGCCCTGGCACAGGCACTGATGTAGAGCTGAAACCAGGTGAATTCCTGCCCGTGGGGTGTGCCCACCTGGAAAGGATCCAGTTTGTTGCTGGGCAGCTGTGTGCTTTCTGTGATCTCTGCTGGAAGGAGGCTGAGGCTGATGTGGTCTAATGTGTCAGTGTCAGCAGCCAGGGACACAGGGAGGTGTGGAATGGCAGCCTGGGCACAGGCAGAGTGTGGAGATCCTAGCTGGTGCTGGGGAAGGGTATTTCTCAGGCTGACCTGTGCTTTGTTGCTGCAGGGTGTGTGAGCAGCCAGCCTCGATGGAGCCGCACGAGTGGCCAGATGACATCACCAAGTGGCCGGTGAGCATGGCCAGAGGCACAGGGCCTGCAGGGCAGCTGCAGGGTGGCACTTGCATCCCCCTGTGCACAGCCCCAGCTGTGCTGGTGGGAGGGCAGAGCTTCTGCTGCTTGTCACAAACACCAGCTCGGGGCAGCTGTGCTCTGCCCAGCCAAGGCTCAAAGGCCTCCAACAACAAAAGTTGTCCTGTGCCAGCTAAAGCCCCTGGATCCTGTCAGGGTAACAGGGAGATGGAAACCAGCTCAGCCTTGGGCTGCAGAGGAGGTGTCACCTGATGCTCAGGCAGCTGGAGCATCAGGCACCGTCCTGCTGTCAGAGGGAGCTGTGTCTGGGATCTGGCTTCTTCCCAAGGGGCTGTTTTGATTTTACCCAGCCAGCAAGCAAAGCTGTGGCTGTCTGACTGCAGCCTGTTGTTGTTTTCCAGATCTGCACAAAAAACAGTGCTGGGAATTACACCAACCACCTCCACATGGACTGTGTGATTACGGGCCGGCCCTGCTGCATTGGGACCAAGGGAAGGTAGTGAGTTTTACCTGTATGGAGGGGCTGGGTGTTTGGGTGAGACACGGGGCCTTTTCAGGTGGTAGATACAGCCATTTGGCCTCCTTGTCCTTTCCACACACAGCCCACAGCCCTGCTGAAAAGGGTGGGACAGAGAGCCATGACAGGTCTGCCAGATGGAGCAGGAGTCTGGGATGAGCAGGAGTTAACAGCCAGCCTCAGTCTGTGGCACAGCAGGGCACCTCACTCCACTGCTCCTGCAGTATGGAGGGATTGAATAATTCTGGTGGGGAGTCCTGCACTTTTCCTTAGGAATGGCCAGCTTGTTCCTGACAGGCTCTATTGTCCCCAGCCTGCAGTCCCTGGGCACTCAAAGGAGATGCCGGGAAATGACCCACTCTGGGTTTGCAAAAGAGGAGAATGCTGGTTTTCTCATATTGTCCCTGAACTTGAGTAGTAACCCAGTGCTTGGGCTTGGCTTTCCCTGCTAGGGAGAAAAATGTGTGGCTGCCCCAAGGAGCTTCTCTGTCCCTGAAAGTCATGACCAGGACACTCTTGACATAGCCCCCCCTTCCCCTGTGCCAGCTGCAGAGGCACAAGACTCCCCCAGTCTGAGGCACAGCTTCCCCAGGCTCTGGTGCTTCTTCCCAGCTCTAAACAGCAGCTTTAGGACCTGCCTTGGAGCCCTGGCATGAAGGTCTGTGGAGGCATTCCTGGAGGAGAGGGGTGTGTGGAGAGGCACTGGGCTCAAATGGGAATTGGTGCCTTTGCTGAGACACCACAGCATGTCAGGAGCAGCTGAAGGCATCAGTTCTTATGGATGGGATGAGGAAAGGAGAGTGGGTGGCCTGGGAGGGCACAGGAATGATCCATTGTGCTTCCCATGTGCGACTTGTGCCTCCTGCAGGTGTGAAATAACCTCCCGCGAGTATTGTGAATTCATGCGGGGCTACTTCCATGAGGAAGCAACGCTCTGCTCTCAGGTAAGGGTGCAGCTGGGGGGGTTGTATGGCTGCCCTTCTCCCTCCAGGTGCCCCCAGCAGCTTGGCAGGATCTGGGGTGGCAGTGCTGCAGAGTAGGTGTGGGTCCTGTGTCCTGTCCCACCCTGAGCCTGGGGGAAGCTGCTGCTCCTGACTGGAGGGGCAGAGCTGGCTGCATGTGTCCTCCTTTGGGGGCCAGTTTGGGACTTGGGCTGGCAGCTGGTAAAGCCCAGCAAGGACCACTGAGAAAGCAGTGGGAGAAGAATCCACAGTCTGCTTCGTGGGCGAGCAGATGCCTCAGCTCTGGGTGCTGGGCTGAAAAATGAGGGCTTAAAGCTGCCACAGGGAAAGGATGGGGTCATAAAAATTTGTGTTGGAGACAAGGCTGGGGACTTGGTTCAACAGAGAAGTGGGAGGGGAGGCCCTCTTCCAGGGCTATCTGCGGCCTGCCCTGGGCTTGGAAAAGAGCCCCTCAACACCCACTTCTGCCCTAGGTGCACTGCATGGATGATGTCTGTGGGCTCCTTCCTTTCCTAAATCCAGAAGTCCCTGACCAGTTCTACCGCCTCTGGCTCTCGCTTTTCCTCCACGCTGGGTAAGCAGAGGTGTACAACTTCCACTGCTGGGGTGGGGGCACCCTCAGCCCAGGGATTGCTGTGAGGGTTGTGGCTGTCCCTTGTGGGGGACACAGGGATGCTGAGCTCTCTGCCAAGGTTTGCCATCCCGTGTTTGTTGGGAGGGATTAGTGGCATGGGTAAGGCCAGAGCAGGAACTCTCAGCAAGGCTGGGGACAGAACACGAGCACAGGGGTGACTTCAGTGGCTGCTGCTTCAGCTCCTGTACTCTGCACTTGGCAGGATCCTGCACTGTCTGGTTTCAGTCTGTTTCCAAATGACGATCCTGCGGGACCTAGAGAAGCTGGCAGGATGGCACCGCATCTCTATCATCTACCTTCTCAGTGGCATCACTGGGAACCTTGCCAGTGCAATATTTCTACCCTACAGAGCAGAGGTGGGTCTCCTGCAGCCCAGGGTCCTGGTAACTTGCCCTGAGCACAACCCTTCTCTACATTCCTGTGCCTCTGTGGCTGAGGCAGAGCCAGCAGAGCTGGGCTCACCACAGCCTTGGCAGCCTTGGCACTTGTAGCTCCATGGCACCACACAGTCATTAACTCCTGAGCAGCAACACCCCCCGGGGTACCATGGGCTTTCCAGGCCTGGGCTGGCTGCAGGAAAAAGGCTGCCTCCATAACAGATGGGGGATTGTCCAACCACAGGGTGAGAGAAGCCCCAGGCAGGCTCGGAATCAAGTGCTGTACCTGGTGTCAGACGCTCTCCATGTGAGAGTGGCAAAGAGCAAAGCTCACCTTGCCCACAGGAGACTGCTTGGCTCTGCAGGACTGCCTTCCAGCTCCTTTCATGAGGAAAACTGCATGGTGGGTGGGGGGAGCCAGGGGATGGCCTTCAAGGGCTTCTCCCCTCTGGCAACTTGAACCAGATGGACCCTCTTTAGCCTCACACCTTGATCCTAAATCCAAGCAGGCCCCTTTACTCCTGGCACCCTGTTATATGGATGAAGTTGCAGAGTCTCTCTGCCAAGAACCACTGAACAGGAATTGAGTAAGAAGTGACTAATTCCTGCAGCTGATTAGAGAGGCCAGGCAGGTGGCATGAGCCTGACATTATTTGTAATGCTCTTCTTCTGCAGGTTGGCCCTGCAGGATCCCAGTTTGGAATTCTGGCCTGTCTCTTTGTGGAGCTCTTCCAGAGTTGGCAAATCCTGGCACGCCCATGGAGGGCCTTCTTCAAGCTGCTGGCTGTGGTGCTCTTTCTTTTCGCCTTTGGCCTCCTGCCTTGGATTGATAATTTCGCTCACATTTCAGGATTTATCAGTGGTTTCTTCCTCTCCTTTGCCTTCCTGCCCTACATTAGCTTTGGGAAGTTTGATTTATATAGGAAACGATGCCAAATTATAGTTTTCCAGCTCATCTTCATTGCACTCTTCTCAGGACTGGTGATTCTGTTCTATTTCTACCCCATCAAATGCGAGTGGTGCGAGTTCCTCACTTGTATACCCTTCACAGACAAATTCTGCGAGAAATACGACCTGGATGCACAGCTCCACTGACAGCAAAGACTGGCTTCTCGAGCAGGCCCTGGAGATGGACTGTCTTTGCATTGCTGTGCCAGTTCCATGGGGACAAAGCCTCTAATCCAGTGACACTTCTAACCCTGCCCGCGGTTAATTTAAACTGTCTCCTTAGCACTTGGCAGGCATGGTTTGCCTTATCTCAGAAGACTCTGAAAAACAGAATGTTTGTGCCTTGTTCAATTGTATTGAACCTTTTCTGCTGCCATTATTTTTATTACACTAGTTTCAATACTACATTTTTAACCAGAGTTGTTTACTACTGCTAAGGTGGTGATTAAATGGTGAGGTAGCGTTTTAGCTACTGTGAATTGTTCTGAGTAGTCTGTGCCTACCTTTGTTATTTAATCTCATTTCTGCTATTTCCTGTACCCTGTGGAGCACCCAAACCAGCCAGATACAGATCTGGAGCTGGAAATAAGGGCCTGAGGAGCCCCAGAAAACCAGAGGGCCTCTTTAATCCTTGGAATCCACATACAGCTCAGAGGCAAACACCACAAACAGCAACTGTAAAAACACAAGAATGTCCAGTCAGTGGAGTTTGCTCCTCTTTGAAGTGTGACAGCCTTCTCCTCCAGGAAGGTGCTGAATCCACAGTCTGGTCTTGGTAGGGCTGGATTATCTGCTCTCTCTGTTTAAGAAAGAAAATACTTGTCAGTGACAATAATTACTGCTTGCTGGGCTCTTCTCACCACACTGCTGTGATGGTCCAGGAGGGATCAGCCAGTGCCAGAGGTGACTGCTGGTCACAGGCACCCTGGAACAGGTGGCTGTTGTTAGGGCACACATTTTATTATACCGGATCTTGAAAATATGGCAGTGTTAAAAGAGGAATAAAAGGTAACTGTGGTCTAAAAGGAACAGTTTTTTAACCCAGCTACCTGGAGCAGCAAAACAGCACCAGGCTTTGGACAAGCTGCTCTTACTCCTGTTCTTCAGGCACTGTGACTGTTTTTAAAAGCATATTTTAAAACTTACTAAGCCTGAGAGTGTTGGCCCCATTGTGTATTTGTGTGCACAACTCTCTCAAAATAGCAGGATTAATACCAGAATTATGTCTGCATGAGTTAGAAACACAGCCACACTCCTGACAATGATTTCCAGACATTCAGAAAGCCTAAAAGAAAGCAAGGTCCTGGAAGGAATCACAGCACCAAAGGAACACTGTGTTTAATGAGTTTAAAGACAATGTAGAAGCAGATTGAGAATCTAAACCTAGTCAGTTATTCCTGCTGCTGCTCCCACTGTCTGTTCCCTGGAGTAGCTGAGTTACCATTCCCTGCCCCGAGAGGAGCACAAACATTACCAGGATCTGGAACCAGGTGCCAGCCCTGTGCAGATGTTCAGAAATACTCTGCCAGCCAGCACAGAGCAGCAGCATCAGCTCTGAGCCTCAACACCATGGCCTGGGGAAGATGGGGGAGCTCTTAATGGGCATTCAGGACTTACCCCAAGGTTACTTGCGGAGCTTCTTTATGAAGCTGACCTCATCCCGGTTCCTGATGCCGTACCTGAAGAGAGAGGTTGTTAACTTCCAGCTTCCCAGGAAAAACAAGCTGTGAAAGCTATCCCTATAGCTTCATCTTTCCCAGGGACAGATGGACTCCTGCACTGCCATGCTGTGCTCTACTAGAGGACACATTGAAATTCTCGGCAGTGGGATGTGCTGCCAGCACTGAAGGATCTGCTCATCTGCCTTTAACTGCAACAACCCCTTAACTGCAACATCTGTCACTCAGGCTCACTCTTCCAAGGACAGCTTTGATTAGGGCTGTCTTGCTGTATTTTTAGTACTTCTGACCACCTTTTCTCACTGGTCTGCAACAGGCTGGCAGACCCAGCACTGCTGGGAAGTGCCTCTTGCCTCCTCACCTCAAGAATGGGCAGGGAAACACAGGAATCACCTGTCAGTGTTGTTACCATACTGAGATGTGGCTGAGCACCTCCAAAAATCAACACCCATCCTTGGGTTTCTTCATAGAATCCTGGAATGTTATGGGGTTGGAGTGGACCTTACAGACCATCCAGTCCCAACACCCCTGCCATGGACACGCCACCCCTCACTGGACCAGGTTCATCAAAGCCTTATCTAGCCTGGCTTTGACCACTGCCAGGGCTGGGGCATCCATAACTTCCCTGGGCAGTTCCTGTTTCCTGTTCCTTCTTATCCTACATCTGTGCCGAGCTGAGTAACAGTAACCATTCTGCAGGAGTTTGGGAGAGATGGCCAAGGGTTCTGTGGGCTGGTCTGAACCGGCTGAACCCAGCACAGGACAGCGGTGGCTGAAGAACCCCCTAAGGCCATCCTGACCTGCAGAGAGCCTCAGTCTGCCTGTCCCACTTCTGTGGGCAGTGCTGTCCCACCTCCCAGCCACTTTCCAGCACAGGACCCCCTGACCCAGGGCACGGCCTCGCACCTCAGCCCAGCCCGTGGGGATGCTGCGTGGGCTCCTCTCAGCCCCCAGCGCTCAGTTACTCACTCTCTCAGCTTCTTCCTGTCATCCGCCAGCTTCTCTCCATTGTACGTTAGGTGGTACGTCCTCCAGATGTACTTCCTGGGGGAAAAGCACTCAGGGGGAGCCTCGGGAGGGGGTCTGGGGTGGGACGCGCTCCCGAGCCGCCCGCCCGGCCCCTCTCACCAGCTCAGGTGCTGGACACCGCCCTGCCGGGCCTGCCTCAGCTGAATGTGCCTCCGCAGCGCCTTCTTCAGCTCCAGCACCGAGGCGTTCTGCACCACCACCACGGCTGCGGGGCGGGGAGAGCCGGATCAGGCCCGCCCGCCGCGCCCCGGGCCCCCGCCCGCCCCGGCCCCGCACGCACGCACGGTCTCGCCGTCCGCCTTGCACACCCGCACCGTCATGGCCTGCCCGTACTCCAGGGCCACCTGCGAGCCGATCTCCTCCGCCGTCACCTACGGGCGAGTGAGACGGCCGTGAGCCCTGCCCCGCCGGCCCGGCCCGGCCCCGCGCCCCGGGCGCACCTGCGGGGGGAGGTCGCAGAGCAGCGGGTCCTGCAGCAGCCGCGCCAGCGCCGCCTGGAACAGCTCCAGCACCTCGGCGTGCGCCAGCTCCTCGGGCGGCTCCTCCGCCGGCTGCTCGGCCGCCATCGCCGGAAGGGGCGGGCGGCGCGGCGGAACCGGCGATGCTGCTCTTCTGCCCGGCCTGCGGGAACGTGCTGGTGGCCGAGGAGGGGCCGCGCTGCCACCGCTTCGCCTGCACCACCTGTCCCTACGTGCGCAACGTCACGCGGAAGGTACCGGGGGGCGCGGGGGGCGCGGGGGCGGCTCGAGGCGGGGGCCCGGGGCCCGGTGAGTGCTGCCCGGGGCCCGGTGAGTGCTGCCCGGGGCCCCCGTGCCCGCTGAGGGCTCCCGGTGCCGCTCCCGCAGGTGACGAGCAGGAAGTACCCGCGGCTGAAGGAGGTGGACGATGTGCTGGGCGGCGCCGCGGCCTGGGAGAACGTGGACTCCACGGCAGGTAGGGCCGGGCCGCGGGGCCGCGGGGGCTCGCTCTGCCCCGCCGGCCCCTCACGGCGTTGTCCCCGCAGAGCCGTGCCCCAAGTGCGAGCACCCCCGCGCCTACTTCATGCAGATCCAGACGCGCTCGGCCGACGAGCCCATGACCACCTTCTACAAGTGCTGCAACCCGCAGTGCGGGCACCGCTGGCGGGACTGAGGGGCCGCGGGGAGCGGGGCCGCGGCTCCTGCAATAAACGAGGCTCTGCCGGCAAACAAGCGGATGCTGAGTGGTTCCTTTGGGCCTGGCAGGGACGGGGAACGGGCTCCAGCCCGGAGCTGCGGCCCCGGGGAGGGCAGGGGTGATAAAGCCGTGCTGGAAACAGACGGGCCTGGCGGTGACCGAGCTGAAGCACGGTGAGGAAAGCCCAGCCCTGGGGCAGCTGCTGTGCCACGGCACAGAAGGCAAAGCAGAGGTGAAGCGTTGACGTTGTGGCCTTAAACAGAGCCAAAAATGAGAAAAAGAGGCCTTCGCTGTGACCTGTGAAAAACCTGTCACTTAAGGCACAAACTGCAAACTATACACTGCAACCAATAACTGATAAAAGGAGATGTACTGCAAGTAGGATCACGTATTACTTGTGTTTTAACACCAAGCTTTATTCTCGGTTTAAATACGTTCAGAAGTAAAAAGGATAAATAATTTAATAAAAACATAACGGAGCACAAATTGTAACATTTAATCTGCATGAGCACTCTCTCCCACAGGCTAAGCCAATTTCAAATGATCAGCTTTACCCTTTCTATACAGGGATAATCTGCACCCATTTATTCCAGTTCATGTCACAGGGGAAGACTCTCCCCAGCCTGAGAGTACAATCTATTGTAGGCTCGTAGTAGATGGTTGGGCTTTCACTCAGTTTGGGATTCTGTAGTTGTTCTTCCACAGTTGGCTGAGAAAAGAGTGACACGGGGGATGGCTTTTTCATGTAGAATCGTCTGATGCAACCGAGAGTTTCCAGACCCTGCAAAAACATTGACGTATATCAATTTGGGCAGTTGCAAAAAAAAAAAAAAATAAATATACATATAAAAAAGCTGTGAATGTTGCTCTATCTACAGTGTTCTCAGAAATTTATACGAAAAGTAGCTTCACTTGAGCCCCTGAGGAGCCCATGGTTACACACAAAGCTAAAAAGGATAAACAGCTTAACAAAAACATGCAAGCTCCAGCTATAGGTGGATGTATTTAGCTACTTTCAAGCACAGTGATTGATACATGGTTACCAACACAGAGGGTGCTCAGCAAAAGATGTCAACATTTAGGACCAGTTAAAAAAATCTAAGGTTGCTCTGGATGTCAATCCCAGACTTCTGTGCCAGTCTATATTAATGGTTAATAGGTGTATGACAAACTGTCCGTGGTTTCAAAACCAGTTCTTAGTGAATTCATTGGCACAGAATTTAGATCGAAGTTCTCCACTCTGTAAAATGTAGAGGTAATTAACTGCTTCATTTTGTGGGTTTGAATTCACATTTCCCAGGAATCCATACTGGAACACCCAGAACAGGATACCCACGAGTGGCAACACTCCCAGCTGGCACTGTCACCACGGGGTACACTGGGGAAGAAATGGCACATGGACACTGGAAAATGGATTTCCAGTTAGCAGGGAAGTCATGCCTTTGGGAAGGCTCTGCTTAAGATTCTGAATATTTACAGGAAAAAAAGAAAGAAATTGAAGTTCCATGTCCAAAGTAGCAGTGGTGGCAATTGAATGTCAAAATGTGGGAACAAAATTATAAGAAACTCAAAATTTTATTGCCATCTTTTGTTTGACAATTAAGGATGTATAGGCAGGTCAGAAGGTCAGATTTACACATTATCTAGCACAGACATGTTTCAGTTTGATTCTCATGGAAGATTACCCATCTAGAAAGTATATAAGAAAAAAGAAATTAAAAATAGTTGGATTATCTGTGGTGATTGGGAGAAGGTTCCTTCCAACCCAAACTATTCCATGATCCTGTGATACCACTGCATTAAACACTCAACCTAGAGTTTCATGTTGACAAGCCCCCTACCTAGACTTTCACCTCCCTGTACATACATTTCAGAAGCAATCTCAAACTGTAAAATCAGTGCCAACACTGTAAATCAGCCTTCCCTCCTCCCTCACTGCGAGCAGTGCCTCGCTCTGCCTTTGGATAATTGACACCCAAGGGAGCAGCAGGTTGGTTTCCCCATTTCCCTGGGCCTGCAGCGCTGTCCCTGCTGTACCTGCAGGATCTCCAGCACGGCCACGGGCTGCAGGACGCCGCTGTAGTGCTGCAGCAGCCCGGCCTGCGTCACGCCCGGCTTGGTCATCACGTGGTAGAGCACGGCCTCCATCATCCCCTTGCACACCGGCTTGTTCAGCTTCCCATCCACGGTCCTCCACGGCCTCCCGATGAAGCAAACGTCCTCACAGGCCCTGCCAAAGACACTTCAAACTCAGCTGGCAGCAATTCTTTGGGACAGGTTCCTCATCATTGCAATTGCTGCCTAACACAGGTTCTCCCCACATCCATTTTAATCCTGTGGCTGCTCTGAGTGAGGGTTGGTGCTGCTTTACCAAATCTGCATTTTTCACTAGGGGTTCACCCCTTTTAGCACCAGCAGCTGCCTTGGGTCTCGATGAGCAGGGAAGCTTTGCTCTAATATCCTCCATAAGTTATCCAAGACATGCACCATGCAGCAGCAGTGCTCTGATGGGAAGAAAATTCCTAATTTTTAGCATTTTGCTGTCCAAAAGACATTCCCTGTGTGGAAATTCACATTTCTCATACTGCAGTTTCTCCAGGCCTTTCCTGGGCACTGGAAGCTGGCACTGGGCTTACTTGAGCAGTAAAATCAGTTTTGGTCCTCTGATATTTGGAGTTTGTTGGTTTTTGGGTAAAAATATCTATCAGAGACATTTATTTCAGCATGCACAGGAGCACAATGAACATTAACAGGAACAATGGAGTGAGGTTTCTCCATCATCAATGCTCACTGCTCATCAGAGCACAAAACTGAGGTTTCCAAACCACTGCTTCCAGTACTCTTTAGGCAGTGCCAAGTGTTTGGTATTCTGCAGACATCTCTCTTACTCACCGGTCCCTGGCTGCCTGGGAGACATCTGTCATGGAGCTTCCTGGAAAGAAAAGGACATAAATTTTCTAATTAACTCAAACTCCTTATCTAATGGAAGGAGAGTTAAAGGTGGCCAAGCTGTGAAGTGCAAGAGCTTGCTAAGGAAACCACTGCAGCAAACTACTCCACGTGCTGCTCTCAGTTTTGGGGAGCTCTGAGCTGCCCCTCTGCCCTGCCTGCAGCACACTCTTCCCACACCTCCTCCCACAACCACATCTCTTCACTCAACCCAGCTTTTTGTGGCTCCTTTCCCCAGTCCCAGCAGGTTTTACTCCTAGAAGTCCGGATGAACCATGGTGATTGTATGGGCTGAAAGAACTGAGCTTCACAGAGAGCTGTGCAGGGTCTCAGCCTGGAGCTCTCCCAGGGGTCTGGCTAACCTAAAGCTCCTGGAAATCAGAGGGAAGCTGGGCAGAACTCCAAGGAGCTGGACATGTGAATGCAAACTCAGGATTCCAGCAGGGCTCAGTTTCAAAGCAAAGGCTGTCTCTGCAACTCCCATTACATTATGTCATGGGTTTTAATTAGACAATTACTTAATGAGGTATTCCTACCACACCCAGAGGGTAACAGCTTTGGCTTAAGCACATGTAAACATTCACTGGCCAGTGGGAACTCTGTGTTTGATAACAGAACTCCTGTTTTTTCCCTCTTATGCTGCAAACAAGTCAAGCATGTTAAATCCAGGAGAGTACTTCAGTAGTTTAATTTAAGAACTGCTGAGGTCTCTGCTGTTTAGACAGCCTCGAGTGCATTTCCTGCAGGAAGGCTCCAGTTAAACAATCCCAAACTGTGGGATGTTAGGGATCACTCTCTGGACCTGGGTACTGGCAGGGCTTGGCAAGGTACCACAGGAGCAGTGAGCTTGTGGTTCAGTCTGAGATGAGAGCTCATAAAAACCAAACCAAAATGAAATCCCCCACAAACTACTAAATGTAAAGTCTGGCAAGAACTACTAGCAATTAGAAAACTGGCAGCAAAAAGGGAAGGAAAATGAAGTCCAATTGGGTTACAAATGAGGCTGTTAATCTCACTGGCATGTGCTGCTTCCTGGTGAGTGGTTTAATGAGTTTAGGACTTTTAGCCATGGACATTCCAGCTAAATGCACACCAGCAGTGCTGTGTTTTCTAGGCTTAGAGATGCCTGACCTTTGGACTAAAGCCAGAGATGAGAAACTTCAGATCCAAATTATTCTGGAAAAGGTTAAGACATGGAAACAAGTTTCTAAGGAAAACATACTTCTGGACTAGGCATTCCAGCAAAAGGCATAGGAAGGATTATGTGATGTATTTGAAAACTCTGAGACCTTCCAGATGAATTAGTGTTATGCCAATTTATCTGTGAGAAAAGACAATCTCTCTGGTACAGCTGAATAAAGAATCTAGGATTTGCTTACAAAGTGGAGCTACTGGTTTGGGATCAACTGCTGATGAGCTGGTTTGTATTTCAGGGATGCAGAGGACTCTCCATACCTTTAGAGACTCCTGGGTTCTCCTGGAAGTAGGAAAGATCATCATCCTGCTCACTGGCTGATTGCTCAGGGATAGGGATCTGCTTGCTGTGCTCAGTGCTGAGCTTATCGTTCTCTACTTCCAGCTCTTTGTCCTCAGAATGAGATTTATCTT